GACTTTAAAAAATAAATCCACACTAAGGCTATGTACAAGGATTTTCTATCTTTCACAATGATGCAACTCTGGTTTTAATATATTCCTTGTAATACAGTCATCCAAATAGCATCTTCACACAGGGTATTGGGTGACTTAAGGAAAATGAATAATAAAGAGTTTTATTTTGAAAAATTTAAACTGCTCAAGTACTTCATCTTTCTTGAGCAGTTAGAATGATAACACTTGTGAAAGATTAATTTAGACTGACTCTATATTTGCTATATTGGAAATAAAATATGATACCAGGCCGGTGGTATAAAAATAGTACAGGGTGAGTATTTGAGTAATTTAAGGATATGGTTTAGCATTTCTAGAACTGCAGTAATGTAGAAATTATAAACTTTTATCTCTTGGTGGAGAGCAATAATGATTTGACATAATTTACAATGCTTCTTACTGCTTATTACACATTTTATGATAGGGAAATCTAACATTATTCTGGATTAGTACTGTTTCTCCACGTGCCTTCTTTTTAATCACAAGAGTAGTAGTTTCATGATATCTAATTGCATTTTTAAATTAATAAATGAAAATATTTCTGTTTTAATATGAAGATCAAACCAATCACTGAATACTAATAATTTTTAAAGGGACATAGTAATTTAATAACCATTAAAGAGTACATCACAGAATTTATTGTATACTCTTTAAGTCCTTCTGTTTGTGAGTTTTTTTTTTTAAGTTAAAAACTAGGAGGATTCAAACAAAATGATTTGCTTTGTTACTGGGAAATATGGGAAAATAACATCTTCATGGTTCTGTTTGCATTTTAATAACACTGAGAAATATTGGCGTGTGCAATACATTTCTGTGTCTTCCAGTAGTAATAATTGTAAAACTGTCACACTTTAGAACTATAGTATCAGCGTTATTCTAAAAGGCACTGTGTCAAGTGTTAGCATAAATAATAGTCCTCATATCTGGGTATACATTGATCGTCTGAGTAAAAGGAGTGCCCAAGGTTTTCTACAGAGCCTTAAGTTTGGATTTATTTTACATTTAGCTTTCCCTAATGGTAACTAATTATGCCCTTCTGGATATTAAAAACACCATTTTCTAGTTCTTCAGAGTAATTCCTTTTTGATCACAAGTGAACATAATCTTGAAGAAAAGCTTTCCTACTATTGCATACCTACATTTCCGTTAAGAAAAGGAACAGCAGAAACAAATTTTTGTGAGTTGCTTAATTCTCAAAGTAATTCATTCTTGGGTTTTGCTTATTGAAAAACTTGTAAGAATTTTCCTTGGGATGTGTGGTACTTCCCTGAGTAGAATTGGAGTGCTAAAAATATATTGTTTGAAATACGCTTTACTTTTAGTATATAGGGAGATGTGTATAATAACTAATGATGGTTACAGGGGATTTATAGCCACAAACTATAAAGATAATTGAACTATGTAAGAATCAATCCCAGATGGTAAAAAAGGTACCAGTGTACAAAATGGCTACCAGTCAGGTCTGCAGAGGCCCCTTGAACCAGCTTTCTCTTAATACCTTTCCTGTCATTGGAATCTGAACCAACTTCTATCACGTGTTACTTTATTACTTAGATTCCACACCTTTTATTTAAAAATGTGATTCTCAATCATGTCTGTCCATAACAATTACCTGGAATACTTTTTAAAAATACAAATACCCAGTTGCTAGTATACTTGAACAACATTAGTTTAAACTGCATGTATCCACTTAACATGTGGATTTTTTCAATAAATATACAGTACCTTTAAATAAATAGGAACTTCTTCACATCTTTCATTTTGGATATCTAGTGTTAATAATATGTATGACATCTACCATGTTTTGCATTGTATAAGATGATATTGATGTGGGTACTGACCACTTGATTCATTTTGTAAACATGATGTAAATTTACAGTATGGATAAATACAGTACCCTACTATAAATGTATTTTCTCTTCCTAATGATTTTCTTAATGTTTTCTTTTTGCTAGCTTAAGAATTTTTGCACATAACTTATTGTAAGAATAAGAATCTATTGTAAGAATACAAAATATAAAACATAGACCATTAAAATATGTGTTAATGTGTTTGTTATTGGTAAGGCTTCCAGTCAACAGTAGGCTGTTAGTAAAGTTTTTGGGGAGTCAGAAGTTGTACATGGATTTTTGACTGCATGGGGGGTCAGTGCCTGTATCCCATGTGGTGTTCAAAGGCCAGCTATAGTCTTGAGCAAGATCATGAATATTAGCAATTTTTTTAAAGCTCTACAGAGTGATTCTGATGGGCACCCAAGATGGAGAATTAATTGATAAAAATCAGGACTCTGAAACTAATGTGTGTGTGCATGTGAATCACCTGGGATTTTGTTAAATTGCAGGCTTTGATTCAGTAGGTCTTTGTGGGAAAGGGATTCTGCAATTGTAAGTTCCTGGGTGATAACCGATGCTGTTGGTCCTTACAGCACACTTTTAAGGAACAAGGATACAAACTGTGCTCCTATCTGCTCACAGTCCTTTTACAGTTCAAGGGCATTTTGAAATGTGAGTGTAATTTCAGAAGTGATCCTTTGATTTGGCAAAAAGGATTCTCTTATAACTAACCTTTGTTAGTCCCTTCTGGGTTACAGCATTGAGAAGTCAGAGGCCCAAAAAACTATTAAGTATATTTTTTGTTAAAAAAAAAAAAAGATTAATGAAATTACAGCTTTTTAATGAGAATAAAACTAAAAATTTTTGTTCCATTTATACANCATTAGTCTAATTCTAGTAAAAGAACTTTGGTGTGATGGACTCCAGTGAATTTTTAGTAGATACAGTTTAGTGGAATCTTGCCCAAGCATTTCACAGTTATGATATTTGGGGTATGTTTGTATGCCATTTGTGCTTGTACAGGTAGGTATACCCATGAAATTGCTTTAGAAAAAGTTGCCTAATATTCTCCCTTTTGTTTGTTGTCTTTTCCTCCCACTTTTTAGCTTCATTCACGGTTATGTGTTACAATGTGTTATGTGATAAATACGCCACCCGGCAGCTATATGGCTATTGCCCATCCTGGGCATTAAACTGGGAATACAGGAAAAAGGGAATTATGGAAGAAATTGTTAACTGTGACGCAGATATCATTAGTCTTCAGGTAACACTATAGAAATTAAATTGTCTTAAAGATTAATTTAAAAATAGTACATCTTTCTTCTGTGAAAGATCCTGTCTTCAAATCAAAACTCGAAAGGAATTATTTGCTCTTAAAAAAAGGATAATTTTAATAAGCACATAAGATATTTCCACAATGAAACTATTTTGCTAAGTACAGCCATCCACTTATATTCATTTACCATTTTCTTAAGGGAAAATAATCACATTCATGTTAATAATTCATTTCATGAACAAATTGGTTTTGCTGAAAGAGAAAACTACAGAAGATTACATCTCTCAAGTTTATAAACTTAATTTACAGTGGAACCTGTAAAAAAAAATTTGCCCTCCCACTATTGTTCCTTAATGAAAAACATTTGAATGTTTAAAAAGTAACACTTTTTTTCCTTATTTTAAAAAACTGCCTCTGATATTCAGACTCTTCGGTTTTACCACACTTTGTTATAGTGAGTTTAACTGAAGAAGTACCTTTCTATTGAAATGTGTTCTATTGCATCTTTTTTTCTTAACAACTTTCAAAGCACATTAAATGTTTATAAAGGTGTTTTAAAATTTTAAGTGTTATAATTTCATGCTTTTCCAACATAGCCTGAAAAGAAAGTTACGACTTTTTAAATCATTTTTTGTACTAGTATACTTTGATAATTTATTTTTATGTTGTCCATAATGGTTCATATGACTTAATGGGAAATACGTAAGAAGTAAAAACCCTCAAAAAGAAAAATTTCTTTTGAACACTGAGAACTGACACAGAACTGGGGGGAGGGGAGGCAAACAAAATGAGACTTAGCTGTAGTTACTTAACTGTTCTTTTTTGATTATTTGTAGTAATAACACCCTCATACTCTTCTAAATAAGGTTTGAAGAATTAAAACATAATTAAAAAATATTTTCCAAGTAGAAAAGTAATACTACAAAGTGTTCATTCTAGAGAAGCTGGAAATTTTGAAAAATTATAAAGAATTACCTAATCTTATATTCTAAAGGTAGTTTGGCTGTCTACACATTTTAAAAATTTACTTACCTATTTATTTACAGATACATTTTCAAAATAAATTTGAAATCACACTGTTGATATATTTTGTTTATTGTACTTAATGCACTTTCTGTATTATTAAAATCCTTCAAAGCCAGTTAACTATATGAATATATATTAATTAATGTAACATTTTCCCTAATATTGGACATTTAGGCCATTTATGCATTTTTACTCTTAGAAAATCATTTTGTTATGAGCATTGTCTTATATAAATCATTATCTTCACACTAGATCATTTCATTTACACAGATTTAAAATTTTATGGGTCAAAGAGTAAAATAGTCTAATAATTACTAAGTCAACAGAGACCATTGGATGATTGGTATTCAGGTACCTAAAAATTCCTTGGAGTAGAATTTTTCATTGATAGATCTTAAGCTTCTCTTTGGTGTCATTTCTTTCCACCACAGTTGAGAAAGATAGTTTAAAATTTTCCTCTTTATATATAAAATTTACTATGTCCCTACTACTTAATCTATATAATATGACCAATTTTGCTTAATTACCCATTGTGAGGAAGTGAAGGATTGTGGGATGAGCTCTGAATTGGGAGCTAAGAGATTTGGGACCAACTAGCTAACTAGTGTGAACATGAGAAAATTCTGTGACATTTCTGGTTCTTTCAGATTTAAAAAGCTGCCAGTAACAATGGCAGTTGCAAGCAGTAAGGTAAAATAGATAATATTTGTTACGTGAAATATTTTAACTTAGTCACATCTTACTCAATGCTGAATTGAACATTTTTATATCTTAATCAGAGTTTTCCTCTGTCATGTCTGATAACTTTTTTTTCATTTCAGGAAGTAGAAACAGAGCAATACTTCACTCTCTTTCTGCCAGCATTGAAGGAGCGTGGATATGATGGATTTTTTTCTCCAAAGTCACGTGCCAAAATCATGTCTGAGCAGGAGAGAAAGCATGTGGACGGTTGTGCAATATTCTTCAAAACAGAAAAGTGAGTTAAGGAAACAGCATAATAGTTTAAACTAATTTTTTTAATTGTCACATATTTGAGATTATCTTTCGTTTAACCCTGTAATAATAAACAAAAAGCTAGAAAGCAAGTGCTATAAAAATTAAAACTATTGGTAATGTTTTACTTCTTGTGTTATGTATTAGAAATAAGAGTGCTTACTTTATTATTCCTTATGCTTCTATTGCCAAAAGACACTAAAAATATTTAAGAGATATATATATTTGAATATGGCATTATAATCACATTTCCAAATATGTTTTTGTGAAGTAAAACATTAGTTCAGGTGCATGAAAAGAAAGTAGTACTTTTTAAGGGTAGAAGTAAATGATGACAATATAAGTTGGTCACAGGGACAGTACAGCATGGAGATTCTGTAACATCTTTATATGTTGATAGATAGTAAACTGCACTAGAAGGGGTGAGCATTTAATAATATGAGTAACTGTTGAACCACTGTTACACATGTGAAGCCAATGTAAGATTGTATATCAATGATACTTAAGTAAAAAAAAAGATGTATACCATCAAAAAATAAAAAAGTGATCATAGCCTCTTCCTGTGATTTTTTTTTGATAGTTGGCCTTTTCCAGAATCATTCATCAACCTTTTTGTCTTTTTCAATTACATTTCACGCATTTATTTAATCATTTATTCACTAAAAGTTTACTGAGCATTTACTTTGTGACAAGTGCTGTGCTAGTTACAGTAGACACAGGGTTTCTAATCCCACCCAGAGCTCAAGTCTAGTAGGAAAAGGTAGTTGTTTCAGAAAATCACAGTATAATATCATATATATAAGATAGATAAAGGAAGGTAGAAGAGAGACCCAGAGCTTATGGAGGTGGGGATTTAAGGGAATGATGGAGAAAGGATAATGGAAAGGACATTATCAAAACATACAGAAAACATGACCTGTGTTTTTTCAGGGCTGTTAATGTAGTTGATTAAAGTACAAAGATGAGAACATTTTGAATCTGCTTATTAAAATGCATGAATGATTTTGTAGAAGTCTCTGTATTTTAATATTTTTGAGTTTAAAAATGGAAAACAGTACCTGTTCAGCCTGCTTAACCCAGAGGAAGTTATGAAAGTTCAATGAGGTAATGGATGGGTAGGTACTTTGTAAACCATTCAGTGACCTGGAACTATTTTTATTATCATCTTACTTCTCTGTTTCTGTAGTCCTTGATAATTTTAGTATTTCTCCACTACTGGGTTTATTATGTTGTGTGCTTTGGATTTTGGAATTGCATTGCCTGCTTGAGGGTGCAGAGCAGCAGCCTTCCACATGCTCAGAATGCTCTCTCTTTGAGTGTTGGCTGAGTGACTACATGGTTAGAAACAGATTCTTTTGGTTATATTGAGGAAAAGAGGAAAGCATATTTTTGCCTTATAAAAGCTGCCAATTATAGAGTGGAAAATTTGAAGGAATCTGCAATAGAGGACTGAAATGTGTGAAGTCTGATAGAGGTTGAATCCCATGGTTAATGATTTGGATTTGATACATTGGTAGGGAATCATCTACTTACTGGATAAGCATATATATACTTGTGACTATTTTCCAGTATTTCCCTGTTTAATTCCTAGTATAACAAAGCCAGTTAAATGCTTTTATTGATACAGGCATATTACCATCATGACATGTTATTTTAAGTAAACGGATTAAGCGAATTTGAAAGATCCTTGACCCACTTCTTTTCATTTATTTGTATGTATTTTCCTGTCTTTTTTGTGAATTTTTAGTAGAGATAGTTTCAATGTGGTTAATAATTACTGCACAGCTCTGTGGTATTTGATATCAGAAAATACTAAATTCTCCTAGTGGGTTGGTGATTTTTAAAAAAATGAATTTTAGAATAACAATAGCT